CCCCAAAACCCCAAAACCCCAAAACCCCAAAACCCCTGGATTTTTAATTATAACTGAAATAAATTGTTTCTTACAACTTATATGTCTTATAGATCTTGAAATTTTTAAACCCAAACTTTACTTAAACTCTAGATCTAAAAAAGCAAAGCACACCTAAACCCATAATTTTCCCTCCTGTACTCATATTTAGTCCTCTATCTCCCTCCCTAACTCCTTCTAATCTACTTTAGCCAAGCCGGAGCTGTTTTAAGATCCCTAATCTAACAACTATTCTCCTAAAATATCACCTCTTGAAGGAATGCAAGTAAGAATGATCATGGAAATTATCACCAATGACTTAAACTGAAGAATCTTTAACAAACACCTCTTTACAGTAATCCTTGACCTGTCTTGGGTTGCTATACAATAAATATCCCAATTAAACTCCACCTATAACAGATTCTTATTAACCCCTAATCAACATTCAAATATCCTTCCTATAAACCATTGTCCAAAGGAACCTACTTGTGCGTATGGGTGCCCTTCGAAGTTGTGCAAGGGAAATTGTCTGCTAGCGGTTGACTTTTGACTAGAGATTTTAAAGGAAATTACTAGAGGGATGAGGGACTGAGGGATGGAAGAGAGCTGTGGGGGTTCGAGGGTTTGAAGCAGGGAGTAGTGCGCTTGGAAGGATATGGGTTCCTTCCGACCATATTTTGGGACATTTTGACTTGGTATTTGGAGAATATTGATTTGGAGCTGCTGTAAGTCTCTTTTGGGGTCATTTTTCTGTACTTTTGGGTGATAGAGCTGTCTTTGCTTTTAAGATTTTTCTTAACTTCTTTCAGTTCTAAATTTTTGTCTCTGATTTTAAGGTTTTTCATGGAGGCTAAAATACACTACCAAGCGTACCAAAATGAGGTTTAGACTTTTTATTCAACTTTAGAGAGCTAGGATTTTTCATCTTAATAATCCTGTTTTGTATCTCTTTGATCCGAAGATCAAGCAGGGCTCTTTCCTAAATAGAGTAAACTTTGCAAAAATGGGCGTTATTTCTAGTAACTTACATTATGAAGAGACCTGTTTCGATGAGTCCTATGTGTCTTTTCAAAAGACTCTAAAGATCATAAAGTTCCTTACTATTATCCTGTCTGCTATTTATGAGAGGATTGTGGAGATTTCCTAGACATTACCCTATCTAAATTACCCTAACTTCTCTTGTGATAATTCGTTTATCCTCTTCGAACTCATTCTTTTCTTTCTCTGAGTATACGGAACTTGCAGAGTGTCATATTGCTGAACTTTTTGTCGTACCAATGACTGACTGGTCAGGCTAACTTTGCTTCTAGGCTATAGAGATAACACATAATGTGTACATGGTCTTTATTTCTTGCTGAGAATACTTTCTTTAGTAGTAATCCGGATAAGCCCACTTTTCTTAAAAACGGACGCCAGTCTTATTTCAGCATCATACTAGTATCATAATTGAGTCTTTTGAATAGCTAGATTCAGGAATAAGTAAAGATCTTAGAGGTAGAAGGCTTACCTTCTTTTGACAATTTTTATCAAGATTCTTGTAACTATTAGCGTAATTTATGAACTTCTTCAAACCAGTGCTGTTGCTATAAATCAAAGCTTGATGGACATCCAGAGGCCGGGTTACCTGAAAATAGCCTTTGCCATCAGTGACCACCCTGGCTCTTTACTATCACTGTAGTATTGGGGAGGGTAGTCGAAGTCTATGCCTTCTTGAGTCAAACCGTTTGCTTTCATTTTTCAGATTATATTTTCAATAAAATATATGAATGGGGTTTTGGGGTTTTGGGGTTTTGGGGTTTTGGGG